GATTAGATTTATTAGTAGATTAGATTAGATTTATTAGTAGATTAGATTAGATTTATTAGTAGATTAGATTAGATTTATTAGTAGATTAGATTTATTAGTAGATTAGATTAGTAGATTAGATTAGTAGATTAGATTAGATTTATTAGTAGATTAGATTTATTAGTAGATTAGATTTAGTAGTAGATTAGATTAGATTTAGTAGTAGATTAGATTAGATTTATTAGTAGATTAGATTAGATTTATTAGTAGATTAGATTTATTAGTAGATTAGATTTAGTAGTAGATTAGATTAGATTTAGTAGTAGATTAGATTTAGTAGTAGATTAGATTAGTAGATTAGATTAGATTTATTAGTAGATTAGATTAGATTTATTAGTAGATTAGATTTATTAGTAGATTAGATTTAGTAGTAGATTAGATTAGATTTAGTAGTAGATTAGATTTAGTAGTAGATTAGATTAGTAGATTAGATTAGATTTATTAGTAGATTAGATTTCCTCTCTCTCTCTCTCCTCTCTCTCTCTCCTTCCCTCTATCTGATTTCACTTTTCCTTGAATTGGCGCAAAAAAACGTATTTTTACTAGTGTTATAAATACAGATGGTGTTATTTATATAGATAAATATAGATAAATTAAATATAGATAAATTAAATATAGATAAATTAAATATAGATAAATTAAATATAGATAAATTAAATATAGATAAATTAAATATAGATAAATATAGATAAATTAAATATAGATAAATTAAATATAGATAAATTAAATATAGATAAATTAAATATAGATAAATATAGATAAATTAAATATAGATAAATTAAATATAGATAAATTAAATATAGATAAATTAAATATAGATAAATATAGATAAATTAAATATAGATAAATTAAATATAGATAAATTAAATATAGATAAATTAAATATAGATAAATTAAATATAGATAAATATAGATAAATTAAATATAGATAAATTAAATATAGATAAATTAAATATAGATAAATTAAATATAGATAAATATAGATAAATTAAATATAGATAAATTAAATATAGATAAATTAAATAAAGATAAATTAAATATAGATAAATTTTTACGTGTTATAAATACAGATGGTGTTATTTTTATTATAAACATTATAATTACTAAAATGTTATAGACATTTGTAACACCAAAGACGATAAGGTTAAATACTAAAATAAGTACTAAAATAAGTTAAATATTAAAATAAGTACTCGTGACTGAATGTACGTACATGCCATGCCTGTCAACAAGGGGTTAATTATGATAATAATGAGTTGAATAATTAATAATGACGAGAATAATGAGTTAATTGAAAAAATTAGTTAATAATTAAAAGAATAGTAAATTAAATAATGAGTTAATTGAAAAAATGTTAATAATTAAAAGAATAGTAAGTTAAATAATGAGTTAATTGAAAAAAATTGTTAATAATTAAAAGAATAGTAAATTAAATAATGAGTTAATTGAAAAAATTAGTTAATAATTAAAAGAATAGTAAGTTAAATAATGAGTTAATTGAAAAAATTAGTTAATATTTAGAAGAATAGTAAGTTAATGACAAGAATAACGACTTAATCGATAATTACCAGAGTAACGAGTCCATAGCCTAACGACCCCCCCCCCCCCCTTCGTCCCCCCCAACAGGTCGGCTCGGCGGAAGAGCACGAGGTGGAGGTCAGTCCCTCCGCGACCCGACACGACCTGGAAGGCCTCGACGAGTTCACCGAGTACAGCGTGTGGCTCGTGGCCGTCAACGCCAACGGGGCCGGCGACGCGACGCGGGAGGTGACGGCCAGGACCTTCTCGGACGTACCCACGAGGGAGCCGCAGAACGTGACGGTGGAGGCGGCCAGCTCTAGGGTGAGTGGGAGAGAGATAGATAAATAGAGTGAGAGAGAGAGAGAAATAAAGAAAAAAGAAAGAAAGAGAAAGTGAGAGGGAGAGGGAGAGAGAGAGAGAGAGAGAGAGAGAGAGAGAGAGAGAGAGAGAGAGAGAAAGTGAGAGAGAGAGATTGAGATGCAGAACGTGACGGTGGAGGCAGCCAGCTCTAGGGTGAGAGGGAGAGAGATAGATAAATAGATACATAGAGTGAAAGAGAGAGAGAGATAAAGAAAAAAGAAAGAAAGAGAAAGTGAGAGAGAGAGAGAGAGAGAGAGGGAGAGGGAGGGAGCCGCAGAACGTGACGGTGGAGGCCGCCAGCTCTAGGGTGAGTGGGAGAAAGATAGATAAATAGAGTGAGAGAGAGAGAAATAAAGAAAAAAGAAAGAAAGAGAAAGTGAGAGAGAGAGAGAGGGAGAGAGAAATAGGACAAGAAGAGAGAGAAAGAGAGAGATTGAAGGAGAGAGTGAGAGAGAGATTGAAGAAGAGAGTGAGCGAGAAAGAGAGAGTGAGTGAGAGAGAGTGTGAGAGAGAGAGAGAGAGAAAGGAGAGAGTGTATATATTTATATACGTATATAAGTGTGCATATGTTTATATGTATGTTAAGAGTGTATGTTTGTATTTATGTGTGCATGATATGCATATATGTGAGTATGCATGTGTATTTGTATGTATATATATAAGTATGTGTGCACATGTATGTGTATGTATATATGTAAGTACCTGTACACGTGTATGTATGCATGTATATGTGTGTGTACATGTGTATGTGTACGTATATATGTAAGTATGTTTGTATGTGTATACGTACATATATATAAAAGTATGTTTACACGTATATATGTATGTATATATGTAAGCACGAATGCCTATATTCACCTCTATACTTACATACGTCTTCCCTTTAAATCCAGAGCCTCATCCTACGCTGGGAGCCCCCCCCACCCCAGGACCAGAACGGCGTTATCACCGGCTACAAAATCCGCTACAAGGAACGAGGGAAGGCAGGCTCGACCAAGACGAAGACGACCGACGGCAACCGCAGGCTCTTCGCCCTCACGGATCTGAAGAGGAGCACGCAGTATTCTATTAAGGTGCGGGAGGAGTGGGGGGGGAGCAGGGAGTATGTCTTCTTTTGGGGGATTTTTTTATTGTTGTTAATGTTTTTTTTTTTTTTTTTTTTTTTTTTTTTTTTTTCTTTTCTTTTCTTTTCTTTTCTTTCTTTTTCCTGGTCTTCTTCATCTCCTTTGTTTTTTGTTTTTTTTTTCTCTACCTTACTCTTTCTCTCTTTCTCTTTTGGTCTTTTTCTTTCATTTTCTCTCTCTCTCTCTCTCTCTCTCTCTCTCTCTCTCTCTCTCTCTCTCTCTCTCTCTCTCTCTCTCTCCCTCCCTCCCTCATTCTCTCTCCCTCATTCTCTCTCTCTCCTTCATTCTCTCTCTCCTTCATTCTCTCTCTCCCTCATTCTCTCTCTCTCCCTCATTCTCTCTCTCTCCTTCATTCTCTCTCTCTCTCTCCCTCTCTCCCTCATTCTCTCTCTCTCCTTCATTCTCTCTCTCTCCCTCATTCTCTCTCTCTCTCTCCTCTCTCTCTCTCCCTCATTCTCTCTCTCTCTCTCCCTCATTCTCTCTCTCTCTCTCTCCCTCATTCTCTCTCTCTCTCTCTCTCTCCCTCATTCTCTCTCTCTCTCTCTCTCTCTCCCTCATTCTCTCTCTCTCTCTCCCTCATTCTCTCTCTCTCTCTCTCTCTCTCTCTCTCTCTCTCTCTCTCTCTCTCATTCATGGATCTCAAGAGAAGCACTTAGTATTAGAATAAGTATATCAATATTAATATATTTTAAGTATATTAGTATAAGTATTAGGTTATGTTTAATAGTATTATTATATTACAAATATATTTGTATAAGGTACTAGGAGCACACAGTATTCTATCAAGGTAGGGGGGGAGGGGGGTGATGTCTATTTCAGTGATTTTATTATTATTGTTCTAGTTATTTTTTTTTTTTTTTTTTTTTTTTTTTCTTAATCTTGACAACCCAATTTTGACCTTTCCTGACCTGACCTTATGACCCCCCCCCCACAGCTTTCTGCCCTTACGGTGAACGGCTCGGGCCCGTCGACCCACTGGATCCCAGCCGAGACCTTTGCCAACGACCTCGACGAAAACCGCGTCCCCGATAAGCCGACGAGCCTCAGAGGTGCGTTTAAGGTCTTGTTTAAATTATAGTTAGTTAATTAGTTCCCATGAAGTTGATTAATTAGTTAATTAAGAACCTCAGAGGTCTTGTTTGAATTATAGTTAGTTAATTAGTTCCTTTATAGTTGACTAATTAGTAATTAAGAGGTGCGTCAGAAGTATTAGGTGATGAGTTCCCTTATAGTTGATTAATTAGTGTAATGAATTAATTAGTTGATTAGTTAGTTAATTAAGAACCTCAGAGGTGTGTTCAAGGTCTTGTTTAAAGTATAGTTAGTTAATTAGTTGATGAGTTCCCTTATAGTTGATTAATTAGCGTAATGAATTAGTTAGTTGATGAGTTCCCTTATAGTTGATTAATTAGTTAATTAAGAACCTCAGAGGTGCGTTTAATGTCTTGTTTAAATTATAGTTAGTTAATTAGTTGATGAGTTCCCTTATAGTTGATTAATTAGTGTAATGAATTAATTAGTTGATTAGTTAGTTAATTAAGAACCTCAGAGGTGTGTCAGAGATCTTGTTTAAATTATAGTTAGTTAATTAGTTCCCATGAAGTTGATTAGTTAGTTAATTAAGAGCCTCAGAAGTCTCGTTTAAATTATAGTTAGTTAATTAGTTGATGAGTTCCCTTATAGTTGATTAATTAGTGTAATGAATTAATTAGTTGATTAGTTAGTTAATTAAGAACCTCAGAGGTGCGGTTAAGGTCTCGTTTGAATTATAGTTAGTTAATTAGGTGATGAGTTCCCTCATAGTTGATTAATTAAACTTATTAAATTGAACGGTTAGATTGAGTGGCTAGATTGAATAAGATTAAGTTGAATTAAGTTGATTAAGATTAAGATTAAGTTGAATTAAGTTGATTAAGATTAAGATTAAGATTAAGATTAAGTTGAATTAATAAGATT